GAAATTGCCCCCCCCCCCCCCCTCCCCCATTTTCTAATGGTCCGCCCCTTACTGTAAATTAATATTTATATCGTGACGCTCTACTCTATAATCTGGTGTCGAGTTACAATTCAAGCAAGTTGGATCAGATTTCAATATTCAACTTACAGACTTGCCAAAGAAAGCACGCTTGCCGCTTGTGCAGCGTGGCGATATTTATAAACCTACAAGAAAATATATATCTCTAGACCGAACAGTGTGGTTGTTATTTTATTAGTATGAATGTCTATCCTGATACTCGGACCAAAAGAATTTATTTATTGATGAGATGTGGAATTGCAACGAAATAGCGAGATCTTTTGATTTCCGAAATATCGCCAACTGTATCCAGATTGTTGATCTATATAAACTAAAGGCCTTGTCAAAAAAACTTAAAGCCCGTCAAAACACTATAAAATTGGCCCTTGGCATTGCTGAAACCAACCGGATCATGGTATATGTCAAAGTATAGCTGTCTGTTGAAAATCTACGGTATTAAAATCATACAACAAAGATAAGTCAAACGACAAATTATATGTCACTATATTATACATGTCTTTCAATGAGCACTGTTTAGTAGTGTTCACCACCTTTATAAATTTTGTAAACAGCTTTCGTTTTGACATGAATAAGCTTTAATTTTTCGCTGTATATGCATTCTTAATAATACAAGTGAGATTTAAATTTTTGCTTTGACTTTGTGAAATAGAATACCGTTATTTTTTAATGGACAGCTTGGCATCATCTATATCATATCCAGGATTGCTTGTGTGTAAACGCATTATTCAGTATATGACACTATCAAATAAATATAAGTAGTAAATGATTAATGAATTAGAGATAAAAAGGTGATTCACAATGAAAACGTTAAAAATGTTAGTAGAAGTAGGCTAGAAAACTCGAAAATTTATGTCTATTCGTATGATGCCAATGACGGTCTGTGCGCATCTGACACTGTAAATTTGTGATATAGATTATAGTATGTTTATAACACAATATAATGATTAAGAGAGACCAAAACCTTACTATAATTACCGAATACGAATTATGTACTAAATCCAGATAAACCAATGACTAAAATTTCCTCTATACTTATAGACATTTCTCTGTTCGGCTATTATCAAATGTTTACATTTGCTAATATTGGGTCAGTCCTAGACAATACTGTTTCTTTTAAAAATCTTATAAACAAGACGCGTAGTAACAAGTGAATCGGTACAAAGCGTATCAACGTTTACAAGAAAGGAAGAATGTAATGGCGTATTTTAAAAACATTACAAAATTAAAAGGTTTGCAGTTATATAACCGCGCTCGATTGTGAAGAGAGCATGCCTTGAATAACAACACGAGAGAGCACGTACTGCGAGTAACGATTTGCTTTGTTTCTTGACTTGACTGTAAGTAAGAATGTTCTTGTAAATTCAAAGCAAAGAAAATAAACAAAAATTAGCTAGTATTTTGAACGTAATAATTCGCAAAATTTATGTTTTTAACGAATATTCCACTGGAAGCATGTTTATGTAATTTGATACTTTCCCCACACACCCTCAGGCGCTAAATTTTTGATGAGGCACGTGACCAGCCGCAGCCAGGGTCTTTCCCAAAGAAAGATCCTGGGTACGAGGTTGTGTTATGAACAGAGTCATCCTCGTTCCCAGGGCTTCTCGGCTGCCTGCGTTGCCGTAAGCCCTGGGACAAGCCGAAGCAGAAGTGATTTGATTGGTCGTTGGAAATAGAGTGAAATATGAAAAGTTTATTCGTCAAGTGGATGTTTATATTCGGCAATATGGCTGCCTTCAAGGAGTGCGCGTTCGAAATACGAAGAAATACAAACGTAAACTGCTTGTTTTCTATGGATTAATGGAGATAATTTGCAAACAGAAAGAAAGAAAATAACAGAATGGACAATTATAAAGTAGAAGTAAGCAACAATATCGAAGAAACGTCAATTATGAAGCCATTAAAAAGTTTCTTCATTTTAACATTTTCTTGTTATAAAGTTGTCTATTATTAAAACATTGTGCTCAAGTATAATTGTAAAATTTTAAGCACACTGTAAATATAAAATGTTTAAAAATATATAGTTACGATAGTAAAGTTTTAATGGTGTAATGTATTGTGTTTTATTAATTATTATGCTTTTGGTATTGGTCACTTGGCCTATTTAATACCCGCCTATATTAAAATGGCCCTATGTTAAAATGGCCAATTGGAATTTATAAATATAGCATATGGAATATTATGGATGTATTTTACTATTTCTGAATTTTCCTCAGTTGTAGTATTAGTGAGTAATTTTAATAGCTTTTAATTAAATACAGTGAATAAGCTTATAAGCATATTCAATTTCACCAGTCATTTGAATCCTTGCACCTTTGGCATACCAGAGGAGAATGCAAGGACAATCGCCTCTTAATTCACTGGTTTATCATTTCTTGGCAAACAGGGAAGACACTTACTTTCAGTGTCCAAGTTGGGAATGAGTGAGGTCATGGGGGGGGGGTCACTTAGTCTTTTATATAAATGTTGAAATAAAGCAGTTGGCTATATAAATGCTGAAATAAAGCATTTGGCTAGGAAAGGCGTAGTCTTTTATATAAATGCTGAAATAAAGCAGTCGGCTAGGAAAGGCTTTTACAGAACAGTAAAGGAATGGTTTGGGAAATTTCATGTAAAAATTCTAATTGAATACCTGAGGATGATAGGACCGAAGAAATTTACCTTGCCATTTTGTCCTGGCTGCAGGGGACTTCACTGAATTTCACACACCAAATTAAGTGAATGCCCCTGGTATGCCCGAGGTGGGGGTCTCGAATTCTTGTGTCATATTGGATGAGATCATGAATTTACACTGTTTCCTGTCAACAGTTCAGAATAGAATGCTTATTCTGTTGACTTATTGCAAATCTTGTAAGAATTGAAATTATAAAATAAACTATTATTATTGACAAAACTGAAAATTTGTATATGTATATGCAGGCTTCTAGCCAGGAGACACCCTACCATGTCTGTATAAAAATTGATTTTAAACCATTACAAAAATGACATAAAAGTTGCTTTGTATTCTAAGATTCTGGTTTAAGCCTCCTGCAATAGATACAGTCTATTGAACTGGAAAACGTTTCATATTTTTAATGTGGAAATGTGTAGTAATCTATTGATAAATCAGAATGTTAACCCCACCTCCCTTACCATCACTCAGGTATACATCCTGTTGTGGTAGAGATTTAGATTGGACCCCTGGATAGATATTAGAAAACACTTAGTCACACTTCTGGATAATGAGGGGGCAATGAACTCCCCGATGTGAAATTGTAAGAAATTTAAAAATTGACCAGTGATAACTTGACATTATGTATGGGAGTCAAATTTGCTAACATTACCCTCCGGTCATTGGCTATCCCATTCGGCCTCAAATGATTTGGCCCCTATCTGAAACAGAAGGTGCACTTGCATGTAGATTAAAATATATTGGAATGCAGAAAATATTGTTATACTTTAATCTGAAAACAAAAATTTCCCTGAAATAATTAACATACATTGAGCCATACAGTCATGCACATAGTTTTTGACTGTCAGATGTGTCATAGTCAGAAGCAGCATAGTGAGTTGCATTCATGGCCAAAGACATATTAGGTTAATTATTTTACATAATTATTTTTCTTCATTTGCCATGGCATGTAATCGGTGAAGGATTCAGGATTATCCTGCATGGAAATAACGTTTTAAACGTGCTATATACAGTAAAACGGTGTTCAATATTCATACTACATGATGGGCATATGGCCAAACAAACACCTTGTGCTTTTTTGCTCAAATTTACGCACGCATGATTTTGTATACATAACATAGATTTAATTCTAGCAATTCAAATCCAAAACTCATGGCGTCATACATGACATCTATCTATAATTTATATTTTCTTGAAATGTTAGGTGATTCATTGTTATTGTCGTTGTTGTAACCCAGTAAACAGACTCACATGTCACATGTCGTTCTTGTTCCTTTTAATATACAACATACGATGGACGATAAAGCTTCGAATTACTTCTCTTTAATTTCCAGTCCGGCTTTGTCCAGTCTTTGAAGTGACTTTACAAGCGCGTGTTGAAACAGGTCATCTGTACAAGAACCCAATGGGTTCAACCCATGATGTTTCGAATCACAGCGGCCACTTCGAGCACATTTCGACTCGATCATGTTTACATTATACATGAAAATTGATACATGTAATACGAAACCGAAATATGGTTGCATTTTGACGAATATTAACGATATAACGAAATATAAAACCCCAATATGTATAATTCCATTAGCTGGTCTGCACATATTCCCTTGATGGTGGAAAATACATCGAAACAAAAGAAAAATCCAATAATTTCTGCTCACCAACACGTCTCCACTCCTCAGTAAGAATTAGTGCATAGTCAGCATTTTTAGCTTGCAGCAGAACGCGTTTACTTCCGGAAAACACCAGAATTTGTGGTGTTCCGGTTTGGCTTGTCCCAGGGCTTACGGCAACGCAGGCAGCCGAGAAGCCCTGGGAACGAGGATGGAACAGAGTAATTATTAACATTTTAATATATCGTTTACATTAGCAGACAGAGACATTATGCTATAATTAGCTATAAATAGGTTGTATTAACTGTCAATCACGTACGTAATTGCTTTGTTATTGTAATTTTGTATTGTTTCGAGTATAATATATTGTTTCATTGTTGTTTAAGGAGTTCATAGCGATTTACGAGCGAATTACGAGCGATTTATAAGCGATTTACGATATTTATTACACACTGGTGTGAATTATTAAAGACACATCAAGTTACCTTCAGTCCGTTCTCCACTAGGCGAATTTTTTTGTGCGACGCGAAGCGAAAAACAAATCTTGGCAATGTGATTGGTCAGCGAAAAAATTCGCCGCAAAAAAGTTGGATCAGTTCCTACTTTTTTACTGTTCGCGCGAACAAATTCGCCTAGTGGAGAACGGGCTCTACTTCTTGTAAAATTTCGTGGCAGCTATGTAATGGAAAGAGGGCATTCAATTGTTATATTGGTGAATCTGCTGAACTGGAATATCCGAATCATCTTTTAATAAGACGCCTGAACATTTTGATGTAAGCTTCAACTTGAGAGGACGATTGGCAAATGCATCACGAGGATGCTGTGCTAGAATCCTATATACAATATCGCTTTAATTTCCATTAATAATATTACATGCAGGAATCTTGTTAGAATCCGTTGTCCCCTTCATTTTAATTACTCATGTTTCAGTCCAAGATGAAAGGTCGAAGATTTAATGTATTTGCACACTCTTTTTCTGCGCGTACTTTTACAGAATGAGTATATCGTTGTATTAGTCACATATGGAAAGAGGGCATTTAATTGTTATATGGTGAACATTTTGGAGTTTTGTACGGAAGCCGTGAAGGGACTTCAAACTTCAGATTTCAGACTTCAAACATGGGTTCCGAGCTTCGCTAATAGCCAACAATTCTTATGCGAAGCTGGCTAATATTTAAGGCACTTATTCAGTCAAAGCTATTCAAACTAAAGTTAAAAATGGCCAGAATGATTTAGATTGTAAATGCAGACTGTTGGAATGTGTCAGTGAGTTTTGACAGTTCTTTGCAGGTTTAAAGGCAGAACGATAAAACATATAATACTATTGTTTGTAGAAACACCACATAAATTTATTACTGCAGTAAATTTATTAACTTTATTCTGTAAATTTATCAAGTTAAGTATAACACGCGCTCAAAACTAATGAGTAATGCGTATAATATACCACTTGAGGTTATGACTAAATTCAAAATTTTTATTTTTTGACTAAACGCTTCTCAATCGGCAAACAAACTTAAAAAGTATGTTTAGTGTTTTATCTGTAAAATAATGCTAAATTGAAGAGATTTTAGGCTACGCCAAAGAGAAAATTACGTCTGAAGTTCAGTAAGTTTTGCTTATATTGCTCGGCAATTGCTCGGCTTAAATATGGCGTCAATTTTAAAGCATCAGTGATAATTGTATTTTAATTGACAATTTTTAACTATGATTTTATGTTTCTCAACCGGCAGATGCATTTAATTAAAAAGGTAGCTAACTGTATAAACTATAAAGAATGAAGCAAAAACAAAG